GATCTGTGAAGATGTAACACTTCTCGCCAAACAAGTAGTGTTGCCAAATCTTTAAGACAAACACCACCGCTGCTAGTTCAAGATTATGGGTAAGATAATTATGCTCTTGAGGTTTTAGCTGACGGGATGCATAAGCCATCACCTTGCCTTCAAGCATCAATACGTACCAATGACCATTCAATAATGCATTACTGAAAACTATGAAGTTTTACCCAAATCTGGTTGGGTGAGAACTAGGGCCTAGGTTAGGATGGTTTTTAGCTACTCAAAGCCTTATGTCACCTCTCACCCCACAAAAAAAGAACTCTTTTTTGAAATAATTTGGTTAGTGGGGCAGTTCTCATCGAGAAGCCTTGAATAAAACAATAATAGTACCCAGTTAATCCTAGAAAACTATGTACCTCTGACATATTCTTAGGTGGCTCTCACTCAACTATAGCCTGAATTTTTTTATGTCAACTCTGATGTTGTCTACTGACATGGTATGACCAAAAATGCTACCTAAGAAAGCCAAAACTCACACTTCCCAAACTTGGCATACAACTGACGATCTCGAAGTGTCTGAAGAACGATGTGTAGATGCTGATCATACTCCTCCCTTGATCGGGAGTACACTAGGATATCATCTATAAACACCACTACAAATTGGTCTAGATAGGGATGAAAGACTCAATTCATTAAGTCCATGAATGATGTTGGGGCATTGATGAGTCCAAACGACATTACTAGGAACTCGTAATAACCGTATCTTATTCTGAAACTTTTTTTCTACATCATTATCCTTCACCTTTAAATGATAATAACCAGAACTTAAGTCAATTTTGGAGAACACGCATTCTCACCTAAGCTAGTCAAAAAGGGTGTCTATCATAGGAAGCATGTAATGGTTCTTAATGGTTAAATTGTTGTCTATAGTCGATGCATAACCTTATCAACCCATTTTTCTTCTTGACAAAAAAGACCAAGGCTCCCTAAAGAGAAATGCTCAGTTGGATAAAACCCATCTCTAACAACTCTTGGATTTGGGCTTTTAATTCCTTCAATTATGTTGGTGTCATATGGTGGGGGCAATGGATACCGGAGTTGAGCCTGATATTACCTTGATGCCAAACTTCAATTCACAATCAGGTGATAAACTCGATAACTCCTTTGGGAACATATTAGGGAAATATCATATTGTTCGAATATCTTTGAGTGTTGGAACTGAGATTTGGGTGTCGACTACATGATCTAAGAAGGCCTCACATCCACAGTCGATCATCCTCTGAGCTTTTATGGCTGACACTATCCTTGATCGACATGACTTCTAGCTATTCATCATTAACTTGGTACCATCTTCTGTCCTGAGCTTAAGTTTTTTTATCTTTTCATTTCAACCTAGCGTCATGTTCGGACAACCAATCCATACGTAGAATCATGTAGAACACTCATAAGAGTAACTCAATTAAATCCATTAAGAAGGTTTGACCTTGGATTTCTATGGGCATCATCTGTGAACATTGTCTATAAGAACATCTAGACCTAGAGGGTTTGATACTTAAACTCCTACCTCAAAATCATTTGTTGGGATTTTTATCTTTTGAGCTAGATTGGAATATATGTAAGAGTGGGTGGAATCGCAGTATATCAAATCTATAACTGGAATGGAAAACACTGTGAAAGTACTTGAGATCTCATTGTGTGTATCACACTCCTGGTGGGCTCTCACCGCATACTTTCTGGAGGTTATTCTTGGCTCTGCACTGGCAACTGATCTGTTTGTCCCTCTATTCTATTGTCCAGATGCAGTACTACCACCACTCGTTGGCCCTCAGCCTCTCTACACATACAGTTCGGATCTATGAGTTGCTGCTAGAGTTAATCACTAAACTCTTAAATAATCTCGGACAAAGTGGTTTAAAGAGTCACAATTGTAGCACCCTCTAAGTCCTTACTGCCATCTTCCTGAGTGTATCCTTCTGCACTGAGCACAAATGGGATGTATGAAGCCTCTAGTCAACTCAATGGAACTAGCTTTAGAGACTAAGGTCAGATGTCTTCTCCTAAACTCAGATCTACCTTCTCGATCTGAACTCTGTCCAGTCCTTCTCGATTGCACTGTTGAGGGTCTTCACGAACCCTAACTATCTCTTGCCCTCTTAGCTTGAGTTTGAGATAATCTTACTTGCTCAACAACTCTCATAGACTGACCCTCGGTCTCATTAGACTATTTGGTCCTCCTACTCAGGACTCTCTCCGTCTTTTCCTGGCGGGATAACTCAATGAAGAATCTAGAAGGGTCGGCTTCAAGGTGCAACAGGATGTCGAGGTGTAGGCCTTATCTGAAACTATAAAAAATATGCTCCTATGTATATATTAACTTTGGTGCATATATACTAAGTCTGAGGAACTCATACTCATACTCTATTATTGACCGATCTGCTTAAACTAAGTGCAGAAACTATTTCCTCATATCATCAGTGTGAGCCTCATCAATGTACTTATGTCTGAACTCTGAAAGGAATCGCTCCCATGTATGTCACTCTAGCTCTAGTGCCATATCTATGGTTTCTCACCAATCTATGGTGTCACCCTTGAGCAGGGCGGTAACTTACTCAAGCTTAACCATAGGGGTAAGATACAACTATCGGAGGGTACGAAGGGTCTTCCTAAGCCACTGCTCCACCGCTATAGGGTATCATCCCCTAAGTCATGGAAATATGAGGTCTTGTATCTATGGAGCCACTCTACTATGGACTCCTAGTGCACTGTTGTAGATGGGGAGCTGTTGGGGGAGGTGATGCTGCTGAGGATCTAGGTAAGGTTCTAGAAATCTGCCTAAGTACAGAGGTGAGGTCTCTAAAAATGGTCGCCTTTTCGACCCCCGTATCTATTAAAAGGTTCTACTGATCTGTATCCAGGACGAACTCATCATCGGTGTCGACCGCTAGTAAGGTATAACTCTCGTCCCTACCATTTTGACTATAGGCAGGGTCATCTGACATATAATATTAGAAGAAAAATGAGGTTATTATTGCTATTTCAGTCTTAAAAGTACTCTTGACAGTCTAGATGCATGTACAAGCATATACACCGACTGACTCTAACCCGTGAGTCCTAAGAGCGACTAAACCTGATGTTTTAATACCACTAAATGTAACACCCTAATCCAGTCTGACACGAAGATCACTGGATCACGATATCACACGGGACCAACTAAGTGGCTAACCCAAAAATTTTCTATTAAGTTAACTAATTGTAAATCAACTCATAAAAATCCATCCATGGAAAACAAAATAAAATAAAATAATATCGTTTACAAATACGGGGGAGCTTTCAAAATAATTTGAATTATACAATATTAAGTTTGAATAAAAAAGAGTTACAACTAAATACAAAAGGTCCATTAATAGTAAATTCCCTCTAAGAATGACTTAAGACGTACTCTGAATACTTTGGTTAATTTGGAAGTGTTGCACTGGAATATATGATGACGATAACTCCTCCCGAACAACCTCTTAAGAACCTACACATGGAAACACATTTCGAATACTGAACTTACGAGCTTAGTGCCTCACTAATAATTGTACTTTACTACATGCATTCACCAAATATGCTAGCTAGTGGCACAAGTATAAAGACATAAGAAGTACTGATATACTATGTTGTAGCTGACATCATAGTGCGACTGAGGGTTCTATATCTCGGAGCACATACACCCCTTTAGCTTGTCTGAATACCCTCAAGTATTCTAGGGTGAGATCCGGAACTATATCATAAACATACCCCGATCAACTTACTCCGAGTATTTGTTCATCTGTACCTAACTAGTGGTTAAGTGCCTTGGCACTGACTGTCGTATTATGCTAAAAAGACTCGAGTGTCATGATTGTTTCATGAGCATCAAACAAGGCAAATTTTATTTCACCCTAGTTGTTACTATTTCTAACAGATCTTATTTAATTACTGTTCTCATTGTAGTTTTATTTGTTGGTATTTTGATGTTGTTTGGCCCTTCAAGTCTTATTCATGAACCATTGGATTATTTATCCAAAATTGTAAGCTAATACCAATATTGACCCTTTAGTATCGATACTGAACTATGGGTATCGATACCCATCTTTCGGAATCGATATTGACTGACTATTTAGGCTGATTTGGGAATGACAGTATTGATACTCCTGATTGGGTATCGATCTTTGAAGCAGGGGTATCAATACTGACCTGAGTATCAGTACCAAATTTATATTCAATATCTTGAAAAATGTCTCAGTATCGATACCCCTATGGAGAGTATCGATACTCTACCTTGGGTATCTATACTATCTTGAGTACAGCTACAAAAAATTGTTTCGATGTTTTGATTTAAGTCCCCTGATATCGAGACTGACCTTGCAATATCGATACTCCTTGAATGAGCATTAATATTCCCTGTTGATTTTACACTATGACTGAAGAATAGTACATGTTCTATTTTGGGCACAAAAAATGCTAACTTTTCATGCTAAAAGCTCTACTGAGGTCCCAACTATTATTAAAGTCTTATATATGATTATAGGGGTCATAAAAGTTCATAAACATACTGAAAACACCAATTTTTGAATTCTACCATGAATATGCTTTTATACTCATGCAACATACCAAACATATTTTAATGTCCTAAATGTGGTAGAGTTGAGTTAGAAGTGAGTTACATGATATCCTAAGCTACTAAGAACCCCCCAAAAGCTCAACTAAGCACTAGCTTCTCATTCCCCTTGGCTTGAGAGATTCCACCGACTTCTTTTACTAAACACGAATTAAGCATAGATGTTACTAATGTTGTTAGGAAGCTTAGGAGGGAATTTAGAGCATTTCCTAAAGCTTAAATTCTTCAAAAATGAGTTGTTTTCTATTGTTTTCTAACCCCCTCCACTAAACCCATGTTTTAGCTTGCTTCACCAAAACAAACAAATGTGAGCTTGAATTGAAACTTAAGAGGAGAAGATTAAGATTCTTACCTTGGTCTTGTTGGACAAAGCCTGAAATGGAATAAAGCTCTTACCTTTCTTAAGATGCTATAGGAGAGTTTTTGAATGGATGAAGAAGAAGACAAAAAGAAGTGTGAAAATGAGATATGAAGTGGGAGTTTTCAGACGTGAAGTCATCAAGTTTTAATGGATTTCAGCCTTTGAAATCTTGAATGGTATAATCACATTTTTTGTCGCTCCAGTTTTATCCTTACTTTAAAACTTTCCTTTTTGACACATGTTGGGCCAAACCAAGCTCAAACCCAAAGCTAACTTGGTCCAAGCTTCTCCATGAGGCTAAAGGATTTATTTAAGCACACTCGGGTTAATCCGAAACTACTAATCTGAGATTCGAGCATTACAGTACCCGGAGGTTGTTAACAATGTCATCATCATCATGATTGTTCTCGTATAGATTATCATAAACATTAAAACAACCTTACTTTCATGATAAAATTATAACCACCAACAACCTAACTACATAAAAGAATGAAAAATGTATTCTTACTTGACATGAAGTTTTGTAAGATTGCCCAAAGTAGTCGGAATAAATACGATTAAATCATTCAAGTAAAGATTACTCAACAATCACACCCCCAACCAATATGTGATTTCTATAAATAAAAAATCTTAAACAGAATATATTAATCCCAAAATCAGAAACTTGAAATGCTGTCATTCTACAAATTTATTGATAGTAAAAAACAATAGTCAAATTTGAAAGTTGTTTTCTATCTACCGAGTAATCATTTTCATAATATATATATATATATATATATATATATATATATATATATATATATGCTATTGCTTTAATAATAGTTTAGTCTATTCCATGTGCTATAATTCACCCAAACACGATATTATCTGCTTGAAAATTATACTCTCAAAAATCAAATATCACCTAATGAAAGATTCAAGCATAAACAAACAAATCCGTTCCCGGAAATATTTGGCTTTAAATTTAAATAACCAAGTTTAGCCTTATGATATATATATATATATACAGGGCCGTGGTTGGGGGGCGCAAACTGCGCGACCGCGCAGGGCCCCCAAAAAAGCCCCAAAAAATATATATATATATAGTGGCGTTTTACCAATAAACGCCACTATAGATGGACCTATTGCGACATATTTTTAAAAAAACGTCACTATTATTGCGGTTTTATGGATAAAACGCCATTATAGATGGATTTATTGCGTCGTTTGTCAAGAAAACGCCACTATTATTGCCCCAAAATCGAATATATCTAGAAAATAGGGGCCCCGAAAACCCTGTCACGGCCCTGTATATAAATATATATATATATATATATATATATATATATATATATGTATATAATTTGCAACCCCATGATAAGGGCACATCACTGCCACACATAATAGGCAAACTATTTCTGTAACTCAAACTCAAATCATTCCCCGAGAGTCGATAGGTCAAACGTTGAATAAGCATGGCATTCGAATTATAAGCTGTGAAATAAATCCTCAAAATAAAATTTTCAAGTATCATCGCATTTAAAATCAAACCATATGAATTTATTTTTATAGTTAGGCAGTAAATCATATTAGCAAAATAGAACCTGAATCGTTTAACCTAACAACACAACTAATAACTCTAACCAGTTCAATGTATTTGTTGGAGTTAAGACATATGTATTGATTTAGTATAAAATATAAAGTAACAGTAAACATTTTAGACATACTTTAAAAAATATTGTTATATATTATTTTCGATCAATATAATACTATGGTTTCTACTATAATATTATTAAAGATCGACACAAATTATTTCAATCAAATATTAAGGATTAATCAAACTAGAATAAATATACTATCATTATCTGGATAACGAATGCAGTGCACTGACATATCAAATATGAAATATACTTGTATGGTATTGTGATGTATTGGTAGGATTGGAAATCGAATCTTTATTATGCAAAACCTTGAATGAAGAATCAGGGATGATAAATCTGATATTCGATATAAATAAATTATTGCTTTTGAACAAGCCGTGCTGATAACATGTTATGAAATAATTTAAACAAAGCAATAAGAATAACATGAAGAAGAAAAGATATAAAAATAACAAGAGAGAGAGATCTGTATTATTATCATCTCGATATGAGTTGTGTACGAATAAACGTAAAGAGTAGATATCATATAGAACTCTAACTCTAATAGATATTAAAGACCTAATAATAAAGTATATTAAAACTCTATCTTATAGATAGAGATAAAAGATAGAAATAGGCATCCACATAAAAAAATGTTCATTTTGGATAGAATATTAAACATTAAAAAAAGGCTTACGTAATAATTAAATGGTAATTTTTTTATTATTATTTAATGCTGAATTTAAAATTTCTTGAAATATTTACTAGTGATGTAAACCTGAGGCTTCCTCTAGCTCTTGAATCATTTGGGGATTAGTTTGCAGTTTCTTATTCTCTTGAAAAAAACAACTCTGTTTTGCAGTAAGAGAATCATGTACAACTCAAGGTCCATCATCTCCATCTCCAATCAAATTACAAATATCGGAACACTCCACCAAGCTACACATGAAAAAAATAGTCTTCATAAGTAGAATGAACTTATTGGACCAGGACATGGACAAAATGATCATCCAAAGGACGATTCAACTATGATGCATGTATACTCTGCAAACAGTTGTTGATATAGGCAGCTGTTCTTTCATTCTTATAATAATGGTGATGCTGGTATTAGTACATACATTCAATGCCAATATGAGGAACGAAGAAATCGTACCAGTACTTTCGACTTCGAAACCCTTCCTTGAAAACCACCAACGGTCTGCGGAGAATGAAACAGACGATCAATTTTTTCTCAAAAGTAATATTTTTAATCCAGGACACAAGTAGTTTAAGCAAATATGAGATGCATCATTGGAAAGAATTATCAAGCACCTTCTTATATTAAAAGGACCTTCTCCAGGAGAACCGTCACCACCTCTAATGCAAGTGGTGACACATTTGATGGTGCATGACTCGGCTTTCCTCGACTTTGGTCGCTGGATCCTCGGCTTCTTGCAATCTTTCGCTGATGAGCACTCTCCGGAAAGTGTCTGGGGTATGTTAGACAGTGTTTCCAAGTCTTGGGGTACCTCGGCAGGAGCAGCTGCAGGGACTAAAACAGCCGCCGTTGCCGCAAGGAAGCTACCTGCAAGAATACATCGGCGGCTGAATCTGTTGAGGTCGCTACTACTTTTGCTAGAAATGTTGCTGCTGTTGCTGTTGCTGTTGAAGCAATACAAAGAATTTTGGACACAAAAAGCTGCAGCAGGGCCATAAATTAGCATTATGGTTATTGTGTAGCTTTTTCTTGCTCATCAATTCTATTTCTTCAATTTCAGCAGGGCTAATGAATACAAGAGATTTCACATTTTCCTTATCTCTTGAGCTATATTTTCATGTTTCTGGTGGTCCTTGCTGGGAGAATTATCCTGTGTCACTTTGTTATCCACGTGTTGACCTTTTTTTTGTGGCTGGCCTGTAATCAGCACACAAAGGTCCATCCATTTAAAGTATAAAATTTGCATCGAAGTCACAGGAACTGAACGTGAGCATGGGCCCAAAGCAAAAAAACAGCATCATTCTTCAAGCGCTTTGTTCATTCAGTAGCATATGAAATATGAATAATGAAAAATGTATGCATGCATGTATGTATGTATGTATGCATGCATGCATGCATGTATGTATGTATGTATGCATTCATGCATGCATGTATGTGTTTTAATAATTAATGTATTTAGGTGTTGATAGAAAATTTTATTTATTGAATATTTAAATGATAAATTTGTCGTTGTTAATATCACGAAGGTATAAAAATTTTGCTTAAATATTCGATTGATTTAGGGAAGACTTCCAAACCTATGGAATGCCCTTTCCGAGGATTACTCGAGTAAAATTACTCTGACATGATTAGTAATTATTTGTTAGGTTAGTTAAATGTATTTTAATTTGCTTTTATTAACTTTTGCTGAATTTATAATTTTAATATTTTGAATTATGTCCATTTTTTTCACATGATTAATTTTTTAATATATACAGATGTACATTTTTTTCTTTATTTAACGTTTTGTTCTTTTACGTTTCCTATTTATTTATGTTTAATTTTTTTAGTTATTTTTCGTGAGTGATATCCTCTTTGTTCTTTGTATATGTTATTTATTTTTATCGCATTTTTATTTCACGCATTCATTTTTTTTTCTTTAAAATTTTAAAGGTAATGTTGTCTTATATTGTGGGTTAACGAAATTATGTACAATATCATTGGATTTTAATTTATGTTAATTCACATAATAAAATAACATCTTTTTAAATAATATCGAGTGAATTAAGCAATTTTATTGAGTCAAGTATTTTCAAAAGAATGAAATTCACTCTTACCAAAATTTATAAAAATAGAAAGGATCGTAATTTAAATTTTGAATTTGAATTTACAAAATTCCGCTATTTAGAAAACGTATAATCTAATATACTAATTTTGAACGTTGTGAGAATACTCACCCTTCCCCGCACATAACCAATCCTCGAACCATATAAAATAAATCTTTGGTAAACACGTACAAATATATAACACAACCATTTCAAAATCTCGTACAGGAAAAACATCAGCATAAAGAAATAGCACTTTATCACGTATTGAAGTAGGTAAATATATAACCATAATTTCTCAATATTGGGGATAAAAAAGAATTGGAACTAAGCTCCCTCATTCCCAACATAAAGAAGGCATTCTACAAAATGGGAAAAACATAATAACCAAAAATTAAAAAATAATAAGAAAAGGAATCGAAACTAATGCCATGCCCCTCATTCCCAGCATTCCTCTGCGAGGAAGCAATTTCGAAAGGTTTTGAACAATTATAAAACGTTAGCCACCAAAGGGATGACAATGAATACCAAAAACAAACATAATAACCTAACATCTATAATTTGAACTCCGAGGCCACTGTTGCAGGCTGATCGGATCTTCTAACTTATTAGCTTCTGGGGATCGGGATCCGGTCACGGGTTCCATGAATGATAATATTATGCCGTAACAAGACATCACTAATCAATCTGTTTGCAGAGTATCGTATGCCTATAACCCCTTCTGACCTTCTATAGATCCAACACCTTTCCCCATCGGTGCCAAGCTAACCAGTGGAGAAGCACAAAAACTATTCTCTACCTGCCTTTCTTGAAGAGGGGGCATTTTTCATCAAAAACCTCCAAATTTATATTTACAATTTGGTTTTACCCAGAATTACCGGCAACCTCTGCAGCTCTCTGTCTCATCATCTCCATCACAGCAGCCCTTCGCCGTGAATCAGACTGCTGTTGAAGCCTCCTCAAATGTTCCTTAAGATCTCTGCATTATTTTTTTTAAGAAATAAAATTATTAGAGCTTTAAGTTTAAATCAATTATAGCACAAACAGAGAAAGAAGTAACATATGGCGGCTCGAGAGGGCGAGAGGCACGTTGATACCTGCACCGTGGTACATGGCATTCAGATTCTTTGCATGCTCGAGCATGAAGTTGCAGTAGATACCACATTTTCTTACAAAGTACACAACCACCAGAAGCACGTCTTTTGCATTGTATTCCATGGCGGAAAAGCCCCTTCACTTTCCGACAGTTTGGGTATTGGCAATGTGGAGAACGACATTGTGATGCATGCACCAAAAGGTCTAGCATTTTCCTCAGCTACAAATTTCAAGAAACAATCCTGTTAGAAGAACAAATCTAAAATATGCCTTATTGACATATTGTCATAAACTCGTATTCCCAACCATCTAGTTGCCAAATCAGAAGGAAAATGATATATTTGGGGAACATTAACACTTTACATACATATTTCAATAGTCATGCACAAAGTGCCAATCAGATCTTCGAGATATCCAGTTAGACAGAGTTCTTAGTCACATGTTCCTATGTTATAAAGCCATTTTCAGACGAACACCATTGCTGGTTTTTGATCTGATGCTTATATATCTAAATATATACACATGGGCAGCAAGAAAAACAGAGAAACATAGATGCATATATGTTTTGATGAGGCTTCCCCGATTAACCACACTCAACTAATCAAAGTTAATATTTTTGTTACAAAAGAGTTCAATAAATTTATTAAAAAAATTACCTGTAGAACCCGTAGTTGCCTAGCTTCCTTATTCTGTGCATCGCGTTCAACCATGGATGGATGATTTGTTAACTTATGAGGATGATCAATGCCCCCATCCTTGTTATAACAGGAGTTGCACACATCATAATCAGGGCAAACTTCGCAGCGCCAACCTTGACCAGTTTCAATGTCCAGCTGACATATGTTACAGGTTGTGACGAATGCAGGGGCAGTGGGATTGTGTAGATGGTAAAGAACCATCATTGACGAATGTTTAGCCCGCCTTAAGGTATCATACTGATAATGATTCCCTTGACAAAGACTCAAAAACGCCTGCCTAGTATCAAAGAATTCACTCTCAAGAATTTCATCTTTATCCTTTGTATCAGTAGGTACATCACTAATTTCAACCTGCAACGGAACAATTTTCCACAAAATTCAATTAGGAAAGAAAAGACAATTTGCATACAGAAGCATAGCATTGGGCACAAATACTTAAAGTAAATTACTGCAATAATCTGAAAAACTTACAGGATAGAGAACATGTTTCTCCCTCTGATTGATAGGATGTTTCTCTCTTTCATCACGCTTCTGCTCTGTTTCATAGCACCTGTGAGGGGATAAAGAAGCAAAGATCAGATCTTATCTAGGACATTTTCTCCTAGTCGACAGAAGCAGACTGAAATAAGATTGAACCCTGCATAGATTCAAACTTGCAAAATAAAAAATAGAAAAACTATAACGGAAATGCTTAACTATGTTAACGAAAGAGAGCACATTCCTTCCTCATATAAATTTGATTCAAAATTAGTGGTTCGTGCAGCAGAATCTTATTCAATTCATAAAAACAAACTGATAGAATAGTTGCATGCAAGAGAATTACAAAAATATAATTCTACGGTCAACACAGACCGACAGATGAGTCAACCATACAAGATAATAATACACAGCTAAATAAAGTAGCAGACATACTTATCACAAATTTGAAAGTTCCTGCATTGGTTGCAGACCCAACGGTTTCCAGATACCATAAGAATACAACAATGAGTGCAACAATGCTGCAAATGAACCATGATAAAATCCTCCTTCATTGGAGAAATGGTCTCCCCAAGCTGAAGTAGAGAAAAATAAGGGGAAAGAGTAGCAACCAGTTAGAACAAAATCGTAGAATAAATAAATAAAAGCAGAAACATTTGAAGGAAAAGAAATTACTTTATGCATCAGTAGCAGATCCTTTGATGCGTTAGAAGAGAGGTCAGACTGACCAGATGCTTTCAGAGTCCTTTTTGTTATGGTCTTTTTTATTGTTCCTTTTTTATTCAGCTTTCTGCCATCTTCTTGACAAAGCTGATTTATAAGATCTTCAGCAGCACCAGGCCAGTAATCACCATCAAAATATGGCAGCCTTGCTGCTGTTACCTTCGCCTTACGTTCACCCATAGTTACAAAGAAATGATCATATAAATTAGTAAGATCAACTATAATGTTTTCCTTGGAAGCTTTCCTTAACATTGCTAAATACCTGAAACAAATCACACATACCATGGAAATTACTAACAATGAATTCATAAAATATAACATGTTAAGCAAAGGAATTGTTTAATATATATATCTTGACTATTTGCCTCACCATTCTCGCAGTTTATCTGATTTTGGTGTTTTCTGAATTTCTGGATGACAATATATGATATAATCTTCACCCTTTAGTGGAGGGCAAGCCCATATATAGCAACTTGTAAAGCCACGCTTCTTGCAATATTCAAGGTATCCAATCTGAAAAATTAAGGTTTAGATCCAATATTTTTTGCAATGATCTCCACTATATAGATACTGATACAATATGTAAAATAAAATTTTTGACAACAATTAAATCAGCAAGCAGAATCCAGTGAAGGTTCAGACTTACAAGGATTTCATGGTAAACAAATGTACGGAGAGCCTCTCCAGTAACTGTTTTAACCTCAGGCCGGAAATACTTCACTGAGTCTAGATATGAAAGATAAACGCGACGCTGATTTGGAAATGCACATTCGGACCCAAATTCTTGAACATACATGCCAAACAAGCATACTTCTACCCCTTCTATCTTCTGAAACAACAAAACTACCTAAAAGAGAAAAACATAACTTGTAAGCATTAGATAATTAAATTTAAAGTGCCACTTTCAGATACAAGAATATCACACAATCTATCCAAAAATGTTAAAAAAAAAGGATGTATTACATTTAATTAGTTAATTTAAATCTCGCATACCTTTGATTTATACGGAAATTCTTGTGGATAATTCTCCTCTTGAAAGATTTCAAGAAACCGTGCCTTTACTTCCAGTTTTTTGTCAACTGATGAAACAACTCTAACTACAAGTGCCTCAGCACCAGGAACCTGTGAAAAATCAAAGAAAAATATGTAAGTTCATTTCCTTGAGAACCAAAAATCTATGAGAAGACACTGGAAGGTTTATGGACCCATGTTGAAGGAATCAGTAAGTTCATGTTCTGCCCTGTAGATGATAAGGTTTGTGGCTATCTGACCTATAACATGCTAAAGATGGAAAAAGTTGGAGAGATCAAATCTCCAGCCAAAAACAGAGAGAAAAAACTCCATGCCAAAATATCAATCTCCAGCAAAAAAAATGCTTCAACTAGTATAACTTCTACGCTTTTTGTTTCTTCAGCATATAATTACGAACAAGCAGCTTATTTGACTATGGTCATCTTTCTTCTTATGTATTTTAGTTTTTTCTTTCTTTTTGTATGTATTTGAATTTCAGCAATACTGAACACCTCTCAATCACATGGAAGTAGCAAAAGGATCCACATATACAACACAGAATCAACAGTCATCATGAGAATATTAATCACCTCATCATAACTTTTTCCTTGAACCTTTGCCCTCTCTTGTCTTTCATGTTTCAGTCTCTTAAATAATCGCTGCTCTATGTGGTCACTGAGGATTGTTCTTGGTAAATCTTTGGCCCCCAGAACAGCACTCTGAGGTAGGGGCTTCCGCTCTCCTTTTTCAACCTCAGAAATATAGCAATTGGGACATGTATATTCAGCTTGCCCGCCATCATTCCTTCTACCATTAAATAAAGCACAAATTTGATGCTGCCAAGCCTCACACTTGTCACATTGAACCCACTGCACAATTTTATTGAATACAAACAAAAGTAAAATAGCAATTGTTAGGGATGACCATGAAACGTGATACAAACCAGAAAGTATGTATTGTATTGTTACTATGTACATACCCATTCTTCAGTCTCTTCATCATTTTTCTTCTTCTCAAGCCTTGCCTTGGGAATGGGAGTTCCATCAACCACAATGCTATCCCCACGAGCGTCATTATGGCATGGAATGCAAAAGTAATGTCGTGTATCACCAGCACCCACCGTGTAGTACTGTGCATTTCGCTTAATGCGACCACCACAGTGGCTGCAATAAATAGGTGGTGGTTCAAAAGTGAGTCTCTCAACTGCACATAACTGACAGGAGTTCTCGCTCATTGAGTGCTCCATTGCTTGATGTTTTTCAGCCTTCGCCTTACTCTGTAAAAGAAATAAAAGAAAAATGATTGTCAACAATATACCATTTCAATCAGTAAGTCCATATTTGGTCTATCAATTAGTAAGCTAGAGTATATGTTCACCTCCAACAGCTTACCAAGGATCTAAATAATACTATGAACAGTGTCTGAAACAAATAACAGCATAACAATAAAGTATACCTGGCCAACCCATTGTCTGAGACCTGTAATATGCTCCCGAACTTGCTCGGGAGTGAAAAGTTCAGTAAGTGACACCCCCTTTATATTTGGTTTCCCAGGCTTGGTTTCAGCTGCACCTTCAGAAGACTGTGTAGCATTTTCTAGTTTAACTGAGTCAGGTTCCTTCTCAATCTTAACATTTTCTTGCTTACGAGGACCACCAAATTCATCGCATGTACTAGGCTCACCGTAAGTCTTCTTGCAAATGTCTTCTAAAACATCCTTCATCTCAGTAATAACAGGACTACCCCTAGCAGAATTCTTGGGGACTTCCGTCTTCATTTCCATAGGCTCGGATTTAACTGGCATACGCTTATCAACATGTCTGTGATCTTGGTGGTGGATATCCTGAGATATGTGAGTTTCAGCAACTACAGAACTTGATAAAAGAGGACCTTCACTTTTAGCAGCAACAGATTGGGAAGATTGATCTCTCTTCATGCGTTTTAGTGAAGGCTGCATGTCTACAGAAGTATCAAATGCTGTAGATGTAGTAGTCGTTCTACTTGAAATGTCTTCACCGTTATGTGTTTTAGTAGATATACCATCCGGAGAAGGCAAAACAGAAGTAGAGTTTAGAGAGGCACGGGCCTTCTGAGCTTGTACAAAATTGTTAACAGGAACGCAAACAGGGCATGTTGAATAACTACAAGCCTTATGATGCCGAATCAATGTCTTGGAGTTGTGACAACGAGGATATGAACATCGAGGTGATTCGCACAGATCCATATGAGACAACAGCTTTCGTACAATAAAGCAATAGCCATCACACTTACCCTCAGAGGCTTTACATCTACGAGCATGGCGAAGTAACAAAAGCCACCTCACTTGATTTCGGAATTGCCTATCATGGCTCCCATTTCCAAATTTAGAGATAGCAACCTTTGAATTTGAAAGATCGGAAGAGCTTTTAGGAACAACCAATGGACTGATAGTAGATGCATCTGCAGATAAATTGTTACATTGAGCTCCGTCCTGCCCCAATATTCTCTGCTGGAAATCCTCTTGGACATGTTGCTCAACTGATATGTTCGCTGGCATTTGAGCTTGCTCTTGTGAGTGTGAGTGCCACTTGCTCTGCACAGCTAATTCCGGCGGTACACCAGCTGAAAGTTTATAATCATTTTGAGATTCTGGAACCAATTGCTGTTGGTGCAATATCTGTTGCATTTGTTGAGAATTTTGTGGTAGCCAGGAATGCATATCCTGCTGACTAGAGATCTCTTCAGCATGGTTCCACTGGAATTGACTCTGCAATTCAGGAAGCTGATATTGTTCAGGAGTTTGTTGATGTAGAACCTCATCATGGCATTCCACTCCAGGTTCATGCTTCACTTGGCTACCTATACCAGATGCCATCTGGGACTGATTATAACCGCTATTACTCAGCAAATTTTGATGCTGCAGATTTTGCTGTTGCTGGGACTGCTGTTGTCGGAACTGACGGGGCCGCTGCTGAAACTGTTGCAGATGATTAGCTTGAAGGATATTGTCTCCCGAAGAAACTGGAGGTTGGAAATTCATCTTTTCAAACTGATCCATGGACTGGGGCTTCATATGAGCAGCACCATGTAAATTCGATTGATTACTTATCAGAGAATCATTTGTTCTGGACATAGACTGCAAATTAACAGGATCAAAGTTCTGAGAATTTGCCATTGATCCAACAGATGTTGCAGGGCAATACAAGTTTCCAGACCCAAAAGAATCAGCAGTGTTCATTCCATATCCATCACCTGACGATCACACACCAAAAATAAAGATTTGCTTTATTTGAGAAAATTGTATGTTTCAATGATAAAATAAATTGCATATTCAGATATATCGTTACTAAATCAAAAAGAAGAGAGACAAAAAATGGGTCAAGAGGTTACCTTGCATCAGGGATCTCTGATGTTGATCAAATTGATGTAGCAAAGGTTTGGGTGAATTAGCAAAACGTGGAGTAGTCTGATATCCCCCAGAAGTTCCTGGTTCATTACCAATTAGCATATTGTTGCCCACCATCCCCAGTGAACCATTTAGGGACCCATTTGAAAACCCAAAAGTTTTCTGCTGCAAGCCAGGCCTGATACCACTACCCATTTGGCTACCAAGGGTGTGCAAAATACGGCTATTTTGACCACCATGTTGCTTTTGCTGCTGTGGCCGAGATGCCATCGATGATTCGACAGTTGAAAGCCCACCAACATTATTGGACTGGTTGTTAATACTATTGTTATTGTTATTACTATTAAATCCAGGAGTGGGGATCATTTGGCTTGCCATTCTTTGCACACCAGTTGATGACATTCCACCAGAAGAGATAAGATAATTTGCAGTTGACTGTTGATGCCCATTAGATAAATTTCCTACAAAATTACCAATATGTTACCCTTGGCAGAAAATGAAATTAAAATATAATTGTAAAAGAAAGTAAGACATAAATTTACCTTCAGATCTCCCAAAGGAACCAATATTCATGCTAGCAGGAGGTAACAGACTTCCTGAATTGGCATTCGTAGGAGCTATGCTTGCATTGGCAGCACTCATAGATGTATCAATAGAAGATGTAACCATGATGCTAGGATTGCTACTGTGTGACAAACCGGGGGTCGGTATCATTGTGCTAATTGTTGCTGATGCCGAATTAACAAGCTGTGCATGTCTTTGGTTGTGCGCATTTCTAGTACCCCTTATTAGTATCTGTAATCGTTGCTCTAAAGTATTCAAATTTGTATAGTCCTCCTAGAAAACAAACTTCAAGTGTTAAAACACAAGGGTGTGGGTTAAGAGAGTTGTAGCGCAGAAATAAATGTGATCAAACGAATGCAAAGTACTGTGCTTCTACAGTGTAGAAGAAACCAAGAAAAAAAAGTGCATAAATATGGATTATTATCAGGTAGACTATGAATAGAAAATAAAAGTTCCACAACTAGAGCTAGAACATTGACAAGTGACCCATGCATTTAAATTTTATATTTTTAAATATACCTCAGGTGACACTTGCCATCGTTCTAACCCTACTAGTGGAAGGTTTTTTCCCATTAGCAGTGTACCAAATAATAGTCCTATACACACACACGCCCGCAAGTGGAATTGAGAAAAAGATCAGTCAAGAAACAGATTTACTCAAAACAGTAATTTGAAAAAAAAAATTAACCTTTGTACGAGCAAACTTAAATAAAGCTTCTTCCAACCGTCCAGCAAAATCCTGAAACTTGATCATTGAGGCCTCGGAAATGGGATGTTGTTGGCGTGATTTTAAAAACTTAATGCTGGCAGCAAAGAGATTATGACAAAGCATTAGTTAACCAAAAATAGTACTACAGGCAAATATAATAACAAAAAATTCTAAGATGGAAATGCCTATCATGAAATATAGATTGATCAGAAATGGAAGCCAAACAGAAAAAACGATTATATGAAATCAACCACAAGAAA